ACTTTCGTTTTTTTGTTAAAGGTCAGCCTTTTGTTGCATAGACGTTTATGTGCTCACTGTTTATGCACTTAGTGTGGCTTGTACTGTAAAAGACCTCTGCGTCAGTAGCTTATCTATTTGTTCTATCTGTTTTGCTTTCATATCCCTTGTGGAGTGTACAGCTCTTTGTACTCTTGAAGTTGTAAATGTGCAATGTAAATATACTGACAGTCTATCTATCTATCCATTTTACATGTTTATTATAGATCTTCTCTACATAGATTTCTATGGGTCCCCAGAAGGAAGTTTTTATAAAGGAGATCCTACAAAGTCCAACATAATCTAGATATTAACAAACATAGGATAACAAAGCTTACTCAGTCCCAGCACATATAACATCAGTACTGCTTCACTTGATTGACACGATAGAAGAATAATTCAACAGGATCAATGAGGGTCAACCCGATTCTGCAGGATGCCTCTTATGAAATATAGAGTGCAGTGGTGGAAAAGCGCCTGAAGAGGGCTCCTCCACTGCTCCTCAAGTGTCCAACGTGGGAAAATAAGACTATATTTCTCACAACAATGGTGAGAATTTCCATAAACCCCAGCGCAAAGCTCCTAAAGTGCAGAATATTAATAATCAGCTTGACAAGCCTGTTTGCAATCAGCTTTGTCTGTGGCATTAGTATGCAGGAGACATGTAAGCGGAGAGGGGGGCAGCAGAGGAGCAGACGGCCTTCATGTAGCTCCGCTTATCTCCGGGCAACCCCAGCGCCCAGCGGAGAATGCAGAGTACAGTGCTCCGGAGCCGGCCTCTGCTTGCTCTGGACTTATACAGCTAATTACTCACATATACTGTAAAACCAACTCTAGAGCTGGAGTGTGACATCACATTTGAAGTTTTGATACTTAAAGCTTAGATAATTCATTTTTATTGCTTGTGTAAGTATCAGGAAGTCAAAAACTATAGGATTTTGCTATTGCTCATAGTGCAAACAAGTTATAAAAGTGAAAAAAATATAAAAAATTAAAATATAAAAAAACCAAGCCATGTAGAAAAAATCGTATTAGTTGTCGACTATATAAGCACACACATTACACATACAGTATGTTTTAAATAAAATAAAAACAGTTTGAAGAAGAATTGCTGAAGTCCATCTCAATAATTTTTTCTTTAATTTGTACATGTTTTAGAGGCAACATGGTCCTTTTCATTTGTGTGACAAGACTATTATTTGAAATGTATTTATAATATGTAATGTCATGTCAACAATTGAAATAAATAAATACATATTATATAGAGTTTTAATTTGTGCCTGTGTTGTCCCTTAAACGTGATCTTGAGAATACTACTCATGGCATTCTATTATTTTGAAGTAGAGCATTTATGAATCAATAATGACAACAATTTATGACTAAAGATAAGAGTGAAGATGAAGAGATGACTGAAATGGGTCAACAATGTCTAGTGGTAGAAGTGGGAAATAACATCTGATACGTTTACATACAATCCAAGATGGTGTGGTTTGTTTCAATTCAAGCAGTTGTAAAGAATGTTGTGTTCCTGGAGAAATACTTTTATACAATACTTTTATTTTAAAGAGAGGATGTCATATTATAAAGATTGGTCACAGCAATAAGGAACAATATGGTTTCTGCTGATTTGTGCCATATTAGGTTTGTTCTCAGTTTAGGTTGGATAGATGAAAAGACTCAAAAAGCTCTCTTTATATGATTTTACATAAAATAAGACAGGATCATAGTAGAGTATAAATTCTAAACAGTCTAAGATTAAACACACACACACACACACACACACACACACACACACGCACACACACACACAATGAGGGGAGGACGATGTAGCATTTGTTTTGTGTGTGACTGTCCTGATGTATGTTTTGTCCTGTTTGTATATTGTACTGTGTTTTGTTAATTGTAATCTGTCTTTTGTGTTTATGGACCCCCTCGAAAAACAAGATGGCACATCTCAAGGGGCATTCCCTTAAAAAGCTAAAATAAACTAAAAAACGATGACATATATGAAATTAATCTATAATTATGTCAAAGGGAATATAATAAAGAACATTTTGGTAGCTGGTCTTAAAGGTTTAAGTTAAGATTGCATTTCTATAGATCCTGCAGCTCTAGGGAACAGTGGAGGGAGATGTGATTTGCAATTAAATAGGTGCAATCCACAAAGGTCCTTGGTGGTAATAAAAGAGGCTCTCGAGGAGGCGTGGTGCCAGGGTTTTTTCAAGAGTTGTAAAAAGTTTTCATAAACAGCTGCGGTTGTCTTTAATAGGAGGAAGGGGCAGTTGTGCATGAAGCAAACTTGTACTTCCACCTTGTGAAATGTGTCATTGTTTTTTTGTTCACTGATAAATAAAACATATTTTATTTTATTATGTGATGTATCTTCAATAGGGATGGCTGACGTACAATACAGAACTGATATTACTGTATATAGGTAATACATATGAAGTTTGTAAGTGCTCTTTACTGATATGATTGTATAGTTAATAAAGCATTTACAGTTTATACAATAAAGGAAAGCTTTAGATTTTATATATATTTGCTTTTCATATTGGCAGCAGGGATAAATATTGGTTATTGGTATCAGCAAAAAACTCTCATTGTTCCATTCCTGATTTTTGGAGTTTGTTGGGTTTATTTCCATTGAATTGAATGTGAGATGAGTATTAGCATTAATGTACAAAAAACTAACCAAAGAAAGATTACACCTGCTTGGTTTTATCAGGTACGATAGTTAATACTACCATTTTAAAACATCTATTGCTATATCATGATAAATGGAACTAAATGTAATAAGATCCATCTATCTTGATCCTCGCTCTGAACATGTTTGATTCTAACCAGTGGGGGCGGGTCCCGGCTCAAAAGTGGCCAAAACGACGTGCGCTGACATGCTTGCAATACCACCCCGGGCCGATGGGGGTGGACCTGGAATAAGAAATAGCCAATGCTAACATGTAGCATCTTCTTACCTCTCGAAAACGTCTTTACAGGATGGTCCAAAAGTTGGCTCTTGGCCCAAAGCTACGTTCCACATGTGTGTCAATGCTGAGGGGGGTGAATTTTTTTGGACCACTTTTTTGAAGGCACTCGTTAAATGAATAAATCACATTAGTTAGAACGGTGGAGATAGGCGTGGCTACGTCCGTTAATATTTACAATCTATGGTTCTAACACTAGTTTTCACACGCCTGTATTTTCACCCTCCTGTCACATGTAGAAGTGACAGTAATATTTCCATCCATCCATTTTCTACCCTTTAATCCATTTCTGGGTCAGGGGGGTGGCAATCAGAGATGCCACCCAAGTCTCATAGCACCAGCCCCTCACTGACCCTCTGCAGGTGGTGAGTCCACAGGAGGACGGCTGCTCTCTGAGTGTGAGCATAGCCTTGATCTTTCAGTGGGGGCTTTGGGCAAAGTGGGGTTAAGTGTCTTGCCCAAGGACACAACGACAGCAGTCATCAGTGGGAGTCGGTGGAGAAGGTGCAGAGGTGGGAAATGAACCCACGACCTTCTGGCCTTAAGGCCAATGCTCTACCAACTGAGCTACTCTCGCCCTACAGTAATATTTAATCATATTTAATCAGATGAAGACAGCAGGCAGTGATCTTTATAGAAAGCTCCTGTGATGCCCCTTGAGAATATTGTCTTAGAAAGGACTTGTTACACATTGAGTTGTTTTATCAAAAGTATATAGTTAAAATACTTTCATTCTGCAGATATAATAGGATTATCAGAATCATAAAACCTCTTCTCAGCATGTTTGTTTGTTACCTTCAAAAAATGCTTAAAGTGAGTGGACTCGCTTTTTTGCAAATACAATCTGAACTTGCAATGAGACTGGCTTGTCTCCAAAGAGATCTAACATGGATGGATATATGCAAGAGGAAGGTCTAAGAAAGTTCCTTGCGAGTCACAATTTGACACTTTGTGCTGAGAGCTGAGTGTGAGTGTGGTCCTCTCTTTTTATCTACTCTGTGAGAAAAAGCTGATCTCAAGATGATAGAGGCAAGTGCAAGCATGTAAAATCTAGGGATAGAACCAAAATATTTTGAAGGCAAGGAATCAGTTCGATGCTTGATAATGTGCAGCAAAAAAAGTTAGGTACCCCAGCTTTAACTTGTTTCAATCCCCTTTTTCAATGTTGTGAATATGTTGATCCCCATTTCATCCATTGAATACGATGTAACAAACAAATTTCTCTCTCTACTTTCTAACCCTGCTGTCATCACTCATTACCACAGCTCCTTATATTTCTCTTACGAGCATGAAAAACACATGTCTACCTAATGAAGCAAATCCCAAACAGACTATTGCGCTCTCGTCTTCTGCTTGTCCTTTCACTAAGAATTAGTGAAGCATTTTTCCTCCCTTCGCACCGAGTTGGGACTGTGCTGGGGCTTAATCAAGTGGAAACGGGGAGCAGCAGCAGCGATTCGAGGGGGTGGTCCCAGAGTTTGGGGTGCTGGGGATAGAATGGGCCAATTGTTCCGATAAAGGCCTCATGTTGTGCCCACTTTGAAGTCTCCTCCCGGGGGATATGGTATGCTTTACAGTAGCGTTTCAGTGCGTTACTTTCCCCTGACAGACCCATAGAAAGTGCAAATGATTGATGTTGCGACACAAATGAACAGTTCCTCAAAACTTGCCCCAAAGTTAAGCTAAACACGCTTCATTCATTCCGACACCTGACATTAGTGGAATCTCAAGAGAAGCACCCCCCTTGTTTAGAGAAGACACTGTCTCCACATGATCTATTATGCTGCAAAGCTTTTCTCATGCAAGACTAAGGATAAAGCCCTCTCTTATCTGCACTCAGGGGCCAACAACTTTACACAATTTAGTTATAATTGCAAAAATAACCTGCACAAGTGTCATATTCTATACACATACATGCATAATGGAAGCAAATAACAACATTAAGCTGTGAGTGATGCTCAAATGGGATTGATAGAGTGTCAAGTTGGGGCACAGACCTCTCTATGTGGTCCTCAGCAGGTGCACGTATTTGGGATGCTGCGCTGTCCTCATCTCGACTTTGCCTCTAGTCATTCCTTGGGTGAAAACTTGGGACACTTGTTTCTGGAATAAAGTGAAAGACCATGGATGGATGGACGTCAAATCAAGCCATAATGCTACATCATAGTTAGCCTGTGGATGTACTTACGTGTTGGAAGCAGGCTGAGTTGTCAGGGAGTCCAAGGCGCACAAAGTGGTGGATATTTGCATTGGGGCAGACCCTCCCCTCGCCTTTCACAGCGGCCATTGTTTGTCCCAGTCGGGGCGCTTAAATCCCGGGCGACCAGAGAAGAGAATGCTGCTGCTTTCCCCGCGCTCTTCCACCAATTAGGCTTGTGAAATCACACAGAAAACATCCTCCACAAGACTAAAGACAACAATTATTTCATCAGGGAGCTATTACTAGACAATGTTTGCAATGTGTTTAAATAAATGCGTAAAAACAGTCTATGGTAAAAACACATCTAATTGGCTAATGTGTTCAAGCCATGGATTCGTGAGCTAACAAGTTTGAGGTGTGTAAACAAGTTACCTTCTTACAATTGTAGTGAAGTAAATTAATCCACACGTGAGGAGCATGTGAATAGTTACATTTGTTGGTCTATTTAACTTAAATATACATTTGGCTTACAGATAAACGTCTGCAATATATAACTAAAGAGCGGCTTAAGGTCGATCCTCGTGAACTGAATGTGTCGCCCCCCAGTGGACAAAAGTAAAATGGCAACCACCGTTTGAAACTGCGAAAAAAATTATTATTTGATCAAATCCATGTAACTAGTTCCGCACCCTCTTAAAAGTTTGGTTCTATTTGGGCTTCTGTCACATCTTTAGATCATCTTTTTTTTTTTTAGAAAGAGAGAACCTCACTCAGCTAATGAACTCTCACTATCACTTTTTATTAAACATAAAATATATCTGTGAGTGTGAATGCATGTGCACTACAAACAGAAATAGTCTTGTAAAGGTAAAATTGTATGAACAAACCACATACCACAACCATGGTTCTATAATAAGACCACAACATACTGTCTTCATCTGTGGGAGTGGTCATCTCTTTTTCACTTTTCTGCCTGAAAAACTGGATCTTAAGATGTGAAAGATGTGACAGACAAAAGCAAAAAACTGTATTGAACTAGTACTAGTACTAATTCAATAGCTTGTTCCATTTATTGTGGTTTCTAAGTGTGTTGTCCAAGTGTTATTTTAGGCAGGGGCTGCATCCTTGTCCTTCCCTTTCCTTTAACACTAGAACTCCCAAAGGAGTCAGTTTGGCAGCTTTTTTTTTTTTGGAAGCAGAATTCCTCAGATCATGTACATTTTAGATCTTCATAACTTTGTGACCTTTTCTGTTTGTTTATTTCTGTCATTATTTCTATGCAATTATTTTTCATTTTAGGAACATTTGAACGTGTAAATTTAGCAATTAATGGCCGCTTGTCAACCAACATTCTATGGCAATGTGCTGGCCCTGGACTGGTTTTGGTTAAGCTTGGTTTTCCACCAGAGCAGCGCAAGTGCACGTTAACATAGCAACACTGTTTACTGTCAGCAGTTAACCTTTCACAACACTGTTTTTGCTCTATTTCAAGGTATTTTCTCCAGTTTTAGCTCTTATTAAAAGTGAGTAAAAGTAAGCACCTTATAAATCACTGACTTACAATAAAACGGGTGGAAAAGAGAATCCTTTTTTTATTTCATAATTCCATTAAATTGAATGGGATTGACTGGTCTTTGAATTCAAGTTTAAGATCTCTGGGAGTGTTAAGTCCTGGCATACAGTCTATGGTCCTGGCCCACTATAAGACAGATAAGCTCCAAGGATGGTCAAATAAAAGATACATTTTAAAGATGGCACAAAATAGTAGTACCAATGAAAAACAGTACAAATAGGGAATGAGGTATTTTCTATAAACGTCTTTTGTGAACTTTAAATTCAGTTAAGAAGCACATGCAAAGATGTCTTTTAAAGGTCTTCTAATAATCACACAGTGTTTTTTGTAATGTTTATGTAGATTACATTAGCTTGATAAAGATGCTGCTCACCACACCAACTATATCCCTTCTACTAAAGGAGCATCAGGACAGTTTTGATGGACAGGACTTCCACAATTTGTGAAGAGCCCTCAATACACTTGCACTTTTGTATAAAGTTTGCAGTGCCTTTTGAATAAGCTTACCCATTTGTTTGCTCTATTTGTAGATTTTGGGTAAATATTGTTTAGTGTGAAGATTCAAGTGTGCTGTGTGAATTAAACAAAAAAAATTCCTTTGCACTGCACAGTAAGATACTTTGTACAGTTGTCAAAATAAACATTTAAATTATGATTACTTGTCCTCATGTGTCTAATTTGCATATTTACCAATATGTTTAAACACACTATGTACCAAACCAAACCTTAATGGGGGTCATTTTAAGAAAACCAGACACAAACATTGCAGTCCAAAAAGACAAACGGCTGTCCAGTTATATCACAGACAGACAGGTATGAACACAGAGCATCTTGCAGTGTCAGCCATTGCAGTCAGTTGTGTCAGGTTTTTAAACATGTTCCTCTTTCTGAAATTTGCTCGCCAATCGCCGACCACTTGTCTCCTCCATGCATCACTCCTTTGTCGAATCCAGATGCTCCTAGTGTGAGAGGATCGTATGTTAACACACAAAGAAAATACAGATCTTGTTAAACCTGCTTCAAAAGGTACATGTGGGTGGCAGTGGATAGCACTCTCGCCTCTCAGCAAGAAAGTCCTGGGTTCGAATCAGGGCCTTTCTGAGTGAAGTTTGCATGTTCTCCCCGTGTCTGCGTAGGTTTCCTCCGGGTGCTCCGGTTTCCCCTACCACTAAAAATATGTACAATAGGTATGGCATGTGCCTCCTGTACTGGCACCCCCACCCAACAATTGTAAACCGCTTTGAGACTCCGATGTGCAGTGAAAAGGCGTTATATAAATAAAAGCTTACTTACTTACTTACATGTGTAATCTGAGACACAGACTTAAAAGAACAACGTTATGCTAAGATGTCCATTGATAATAATTGAAATTGAGAATACATAATGCTTTAGCATTGAGATACTGCAAATGGCAATACCTACAACTTGTTTCTAGTTCAGTGAGCTTTAAAGATGCAGTCAGTCATTTTTTCCAGATGAATTTTTGTTGTTGTGGGAAAACGTCCCTAAACCCTAAAAGTAGTCAAGTTATCATGTGTTTTCAAACAGTAACGAATTGACCAGATGCCAATAGTCTCCTAAAGAAAATATATTTTGGAGCAGGCCGATAAAAATAAACCAATGGGATTTGTTCATCCCCGACGAACCAATAGGTTGCGACTGCGCGCACTTGAGTCATCTGATTTTCTAAAAGCTAAAAGGGCTGAAAAGAAAATGCCAATTTCACGTTTGCCACCCGCATGTGACAAAGAAAAGAAAATGCTGGATGTTTGGTTTGGTGGAGAGGCGAGGGGGGAGGGGTTTCGAGTTAGTGCTACGGCTAAGCTAACAAAATCGCTTGCTGCATTCAAGCATTTGAATTTATTGTAATGTTTGCCCTTTGGCAGTGGCTGGGATGATATTATAAAAAGCATGGTTGAATAATTACAATAATTAAACCAATTGATAGGGTGAGTGTTAGAAAAATATCTTTATGTAAACAAACCGTTTACAATCAAATCATTGCTAAACAATACATCTTCAGCGCCGCCATCGCTATCTATGTCTAAATCTAGTGCAAAAACTATTTGCAGGACTACTCTTCCAGTTATTACTACAGTATAGGACAGCTACCGCTTTGATAGAAAAAGACAGAAAAGCACTGTTTATTTGCCGCTGCATCAACAGGAATTTTTGCACACGTCTCCTCCTGGCAGCCGCATACTTTCGCATTCGACGCTCTCTTGCTTGAAGACATTGAATCTCAATTGATTGCAAATACATCAATTGTTGCTGAAAAAGACACCGACTCCCACTGATGACTGCTGTCGTTGTGTCCTTGGGCAAGACACTTAACCCCACTTTGCCCAAAGCCCCCACTGAAAGATCAAGGCTATGCTCACACTCAGAGAGCAGCCGTCCTCCTGTGGACTCACCACCTGCAGAGGGTCAGTGAGGGGCTGGTGCTATGAGACTTGGGTGGCATCTCTGATTGCCACCCCCCTGACCCAGAAATGGATTAAAGGGTAGAAAATGGATGGATGGATGGGTTGCTGAAAAAGAATCAACAACTTGAGCAAAAGAACGTGACCCATTCTCGAGCGCCACGGGAGGAAACAGGACAAGAAACGGAAACTTAACATGGACCTGGAGATACTCACTGAACTTAGAATCAGCGCCACCAGCTGGACCGGAGTTATACTCAACCGCATTTGGGTTCACCCCCAATCGTTTGTTTGTGAAAATCCAGCGTGTCCTTCCCTGGAGGGACATGCTTGAAACATGTGCAGGAGTCATCAAATACAGACAATAGTCTCTAGTCTGGATGGGTGTCAAAGTCAAGGCCTGGGGGCCAGATCCGGCCCGCAAATTTATAATCTTGGCCCCCAGGATGTTATTTGATTAAAAACCGGACCGCACAGAGCCATAAGAAAATATTGGATTGTTAATTTAAGACATGTGTTTTCTCTTTGAAGGAAGTTTGTTTTTGTATGTGAGCCTATTGACAAATGTTTTCACTTGAAATGACTGACAGCCATACAAAAATATTGGATTATTCATTTAATCATTCAAAAAAATACGATTCACTGTATTAAGTTATGGTTCAATGGGTTATATGCATCATTTGAACATGTTTTAATAAACATTGAACCAGTCCGGCTCTCAGCTTGTAGCAAATTTGTTTTTTTGGCCTTCTGATGTATCTGACTTTGACATCCCTGCTCAATAGCTACTGCACCTCAGCTGGTTCCTCTCAAAATGATCTATGGATACAAAGCCCATGGGTGTAGACAGGTGGGGCCAACTCACCGATGAGCATCCATTGACAGATTTAGGGCTGGTCCACGTGATCCAAAACAGAGTAAAATCCACACTGCTCCTCCTGCCTCCAAGGTATCGATCCAAGTCTCCTTCAGTTTCTTGGAATATACCTGACTCTCTTTTTAAAGAGAGGGACCCCCACCTCAATCTTTCAGTCCAGAAGTAAAGTCCCCGATTGCCAAGACACTAACATCCATAAACTTACATAGCTGATCCTCTTGTCACCGAGGAGGTCGCTTCAGTGACTTCAGCCAGGGAGATGGAAGTATCCATCCCAAGATCCTCAGTCTCTGCCTCTAAAGTGGATGTGATGAGGGGATATTCCTTCCAACAGAGAATTATGTAGAGAACAATAATACTCGTATGGCAATTTTGCAAGAGATAACATGAGGCATATAATTTCTGGAATTAGAATAGTAGAAGTCAAATATTATTGATATCATAATAAAGACCAACCATGTTAACTATATAATGTTTATTAAAATATATAAAAGACAAAATACAAATATGCATAATATATTCATGATGACATATGCATACATTATCATTATACAGTAAAATGTGTTTATATATATATATTTATATATATATAGATTTGTTTTTTATACATATAGCACGGTATTTTTGCATTAAAACTGGCAGTGGTGATTTCCAACCCCATCCCCGTGGAACCATGAGAGCAGCAGCACCTTTACACCTGAGATCCAAGATTTTTGAGCTTCAAATGTTTCAACCAGCCGCCTTCAAGGAAAACAACTCAATCCTGCAGCCTTTTGGTTTTAAATTCATCATGAATAATGATGCAGTCCCAGCAAATATAAAAACATTACAAACTGTGCCACGTAGACTTAGTACAGAACAATAGCTTCATTAACATCCTTCTTTTTCGGCTTCATGCGACGATCCTTCTGTAAAACTCCAAATACATCCAAAAAGAGCTCCACAATGGGGGTACAGGAGTCCAGGCTGATGCAGCGGGCAGTTAGTGTAAGTACAATATACATTTGTCCCATAGACTTATTAGTAAACATTTATTCATTAAACATTTGCCTGTAGAATCAACCAAAATGTGTAATTGATACAATACAGCTGAGAAACGGTTTCTTGCCTCCTGTACAAAAGTATCCTACATACAACACACTTTATTAAATATGTTAAAATATGAATTAAAGTATAAGTCTATGGGAAAAATGTCAGGCTTAAAATGACTTGAATTCAGGTTTTTATTCTAGGTTTTTTTGAATAGGGAAGATATATGACCGACAATAATATATATTTAAGTCCATTTCTCTTCATATCCCAGAAAAGCCAGGACAGAAATAATTTTTTCAATGCTATTCCACTGAGTATACTACATTGTTTTGTGCGTCTGTATCGTTGTTTGAAGCTGAGGCACTCCACTTCAACATGTTACAATTGTGAGTCACTCTTTGACGCTTTGAGCAGAATATGTGTGCCGATATTGTGTTGTTTTTAAAGCTGAGGTACCTAAATGTTTTGTTTGATAAATAATCCATGTTGTTTATCCCAACAGAAAGAGTCTTGTAAAGGTACAATTAACAAATCAGACCTTCTTTTGTATACTTGAAAAAGCTTTGTGAGTCACTAATTGATGGTTGGTCCAATTTTGTGTCTAAAAAAGCTGATCTAAAGATGTGACAAGAAATAAAACTAGGGATAGAACCAAACTGTTTTACAGAAAGTTTTAAAGCTAGTTACCAGAACGGTACCATAGATAGATTTGATTACATATTGGTGGTTACATTTTGTTGTTGATTGAAAACTTTAAGTGTTTGTGAGAGAAAGGATTGAAAACATTTACATATCCTTCTTGCACATTTTTAAAAACCGGTAGCTCAGCTCAGCTTTAAGTGGTATTTTGTTGCGAGAAAAAGTTTTTTTCTGACTGGAAAACACTTTGAAACGAGTCCAATAGTCTAGGCCCATCCGGCAAACAGAACTGAAAACAGACTGATCAAAGTACTCAATCAAATACTGAGATTATTACCAAAATCCTGCATTCAAGCCATTTTAAACTATCTGGAAACACAATATTGTCGCATACACACCCACTACACACGCAACACCCGCCCGGCCTTCAGAACTGGTCCATGTAAGCCGGTCTGTCGCTCTCTCTCTCTCCTTAAGGCATTCATGTCTGGTGGTAGTGATGGTAGTGGTGGTGGTGGTGGTGTTCGTGATGGTGATGATGCTCGTGCCGCTGGACCAGGGGGACCATGAACCCGGGACTCCCTGGGTCTCTGCCCTCCGCGCCCGCCAGGACAGACGCCACCGCGGGCTGGGCGTGCTGGGGGGCATTGGTCACTGGCGCTTTTGATGGGGACTCCCTGGCTTTGGCACGGGCCCGCTTGCTGTGGCTGTATTGGAGCGGATGGTGAGCGGACGGTTGGGGTGGGAGGTGGTACACGTCTTGCCCGGTGTGAGGGGGGGCGTGGTGGTTGTGGCATTTGGACCCTTTCCCACCTCCGCCGCCGTTGTTGTTGTTGCTGCTGCTTTTGTAATTTCCTTTGGGGGATTTGATAAACTGTGCAGAGCCTTTGCCTTTGTATGCATCTGCAGGGTTGTAGTTGTCGCCGATGACCTGCGAGCGGCGCTGGTGAGCCACTTGCGTGTCGGGTTCGTGGGAGCGCGATCGGCTCTGACTGTGAGAGTTTCTGGTGTGAGGGTCCGGAGGGGGGGCAGCAACGGTGGGTTCTAAAAACAAGACAAAGACACAATGTTTTTTTTTTTTTTTGCAATACATGACGTGGGGAGTTTTGGATGATTTATCAGAGAGTACAGGGAGATGTTCTTTGCTGTATAACTATTTATTCAAAAAATCCCAACAATGTATTCTTTGTTACACAACTCAACATTCACGCAGATATTCACAAGTTAATTACAAGATGATTCAAAAGTTGGAAAAGAACCTAAAATCAGAAACCAATAATTATTTTATGGCTTCACCTGCCCCTCTCGGATTCTCCCAGGTTTATCTGTTTTTCTTTCCCTGTCATTGCAGGGTCATTGTAAGTCTAAGTTCAGGGGATGATCCAAAACATAATGAAAATTTGACAACAAGGGTAAAATTCTTTATCTTATGGACCAATGACTCTTGAGCATTTTATTATTGCTTATTATTTAAGCAATTTCCAAGTCTGTGACCTCCTGTTACTTACGTGGCAATAAAAATGATTCTGATTCTGATTCTGATTATTGTATTTCTTATGCTATTCTAATTGTTTGATTTTCTAATCTACTTTTGCCAAATTGGCAACCTTCGAGGCGACTGCTGAGGGGATTTTGGGCTATACAAAAATAAATACATGTTGCCCCTACAGCCCAGAAATGGATAAAGCAAATGAAAATGGATGGCTAGATGAACTAATTAACGTTTTTTGAGATTAATTTCATGAACATAAACCATGCCACCAACCTTCATTATGCCATTTAATGAAAAAAAAGAAAAAAAAGAAATGATACCATGATTTAAATGTTATTATAATAAATTAACCCTAACCCTAACCCACATTCTGATAATAAACACAAAAAAAGTACCTTCAAATCTGGAAGTGTAGTTCTCAATCCCAGCCAGATCTAGGTAGTGATTTCTTCTCTCTGTGTTTTCATCTACACAATAATAACCTTCAGCAGCTGGAGCCTCGTGTGACTGCCCTCTGCTGCTGAGAGACAAGAATACAGGCTTATTCACACAATAGCTCATCAAAAAGAATCTAAACTGGAACATAAATTCACTGTTCATGACGTATCTACAATTCAGGATGGTGTAAGAGGAAACTTACCTTATATACGTGGAGTGCCTCTTGTCAGCAGATCTGCCTTCCTCCTGGTGACTGCGATCTGAAGATTAAACTCTCAAATAAAACCCAGAATAACACAATCATTGCAAATGTTTAGAGTTCTCCTTTCACCTGTTGCTTCCCTCCGGTGGCTCCTGGGCTCTGGTGTGACTGTCAGCTTCACTCGCAGCGTCTTGCTCTTATTGTGATAAGAGTTATTAACAGAGGCGTCCACCACGTCATATATGGTGTGCATGAGACTGGACATGTCCTGTAATACACAACAGTAAAACACATGAAGACATAGACGCATTTATACATATGATGCATCGTTGCAGAGTCACTCTACAAAGCCTCTATGTTAGACATATGATAGAGATTTCAAAAACAAGTATTGTGACAGGAATATCTACACCAGTATCTCTACTAGAATACCCAAATCCAAATGTAACAACAATTGTTTTGCAATGGCTGGGGAGTCATGAAAAGTAGCTGACCTCCTTAGTAACTTTGCCACTGTTGTCAAAGTCATAGAGCGTGAAAACCCATTCCTGACGGTTATCGTCCTCCACAGACACATCACACTCCATGTCCTGGGAAGAAAACACATTTGTTCCCTCAGAATAGACCCCACAGTTCAAAATTGTGGTGGAGGACAGCTGAAAAATCTTTCCTGCTAACTATAGTAACAGTCAAAAATCACACCTATAAATCTTAGCTTAGAACTAATTTTTCTGTAATTCCTGAAAGAATCCACATGATACAAAAACTGTCACAAAGTTCCACGTCTTCTTTGTCAGTACAAATCGACAATGGTCAAATTATTTTCTGATAAAGATGTCTAGAAGTGGTGACGTTGGCCAAGACTTTCACTATCAAACGATGATCTGGGAAAAAAGTCTATTTTTCAAAATTTCTTTCAAAACATCAAAATGAACATTTAAACAGTTAAATATTACATGTTTGTTTAAATTTAGTCACTGTTATATTCTAAGTCAGGGGTGTCAAACTTATTTTGGTTGAGGGCCGAATAAAAAAAGAAAGGGCTGGTCAGGGGCCGAAAAAATAAGTGGGTTTCATTTATAAAAAAATGTGGGAATATGAAGGTAAATAAATGACTTTGGATGAGAGTTGGATATTCTTTTCTGATTAGAATTAGTTCAGTTGCTGTGGACTGAACCAAAACTGGACAAAAAACTGGGCCAAATATGGAAGGTATACAGGAAGATTTTCTACTTTTGGGTGGATCATCAAGACTATTGCTCCTCTCAATTGTCAATTATTCTGATGATTTGTGCTCGTCAAAAATGTCCAGACAGTTTTGTTCAAAAACAGTTCTTTCCTAAGAAAATTGGGAAATCCTTTATTTCTTATGGAATTAAATGTTATGGTTGTTTTCTTTGTAATGGATAACATACCATTGTCGCCTATAATCATTTATGCTGCTATTTAAGATAATAATTTAAAATCATCTCAAGGGCCACTGGAAATGGTCTCGCGGGCCGGATCTGGCCCCCGGGCCTTGACTTTGACACCTATGTTCTAAGTCATGGATACCTTCTACTTTATGGATACCTACTTTATCAACATTTTGTAGAATATAGGGTATTTTTGGAGTTTTGCACTTTATAGAGAGTACAAACACATTCTATGCTTTGTCAATATTCAGAACTCCACTTCTAAACCCAATATTCCACTTAACACTAAAACCCAATAAACCATTTTCCTTCATCCTGGTTCAAGAGGTTCAGCCTTAAGCAAAGGCAGTATTTGTGCATATTGGACGCTTTTTTAAAATTTGATTAAACGTCTGGAAAACATCTTGAAAACCAATATCCGATTCCAAAAAATTATCTATGAAATGCCTTTGAAGTCGTGTCCAAAACAGAGCACTCGGGGACGAAAGAGAACATTGAATCATGAGGAGGCAAGGCTGATGAGTTTGTGCATAAATAATCAGAACGTTAAAATGGCTCCAAGAGAATCTGTTTTCTTTCAGTCACATCTTCGGCACAGATCATTGAGCAGAAGTGTGACTTACATCCAGACTGATGCGTTTCTTGCCCAGTGCTTTGGCTGCGTCTCGGATCAGCTCCCGCTCTCCGTCCTCAGCGTGGATGTACTGCAGGTGACTTTCACAGCCCTCGCCTTTTTCTGGAGGAAGGACCACTGCACCACAAAGACAATATATAAATGAATAGATTTTTGAGCTTTTAATCTGTCATGGTTGTCATTCTTAAATATTGTATTATCTGTGCTCTTGTGTAATTTAGTTTTACTTCCTGTTCTGTTGATTGCCCATCCAACCTGTGTTTGTTGTCCCTGTCTCTTTGTGGTTTGACTTTGGATTTCTGTTACATCCTGGATTTTGTTATTTTTTAGTTTTGTTTGAGTTTTTAGATCCCTCAACGCTAATATCAGGAACTTCTGGCACAAAGACCTAACTTCGGCCCTTCTAAATACCCCTGTCTCAGTCCTGTAATAGTATGATGTCATTGTACCACTATGACATCACACTCAGCCTTTTAAAACAAAACTATTTCCCATTAATTAGTTTATGAGCAATAGTTTTCGCCAGGGAAATGACGTTCTTTATATTTGCCTTGCTGTTTACGCAGTCTGTAAAAAATATACCGTATATGTACAACTCCCTCTAGTCACAGCATAGGAAGGTCCAGGTGAAAAGCCTTATTTTACCCTTCATTCTTGTTTCACCATAATTTATATATTAAAGGAGCAGTATATACAGATCTGGCCAAAAGTGGTACTGCACTCTCCCTGACTCAGGTTGCCGGATATGCAGACAAATCCAGCTAGGACCGATTTCAACAACAAATCTATAACCAACACCTTTTTCACAAAGACCCCCAAATAAATCCTTGTATATTCCTTGTTTTGTCATTAATGATTTATCTCGACTGAACTACTTTCATCAGTTAAAGAAGTATTCAAACGGAGTATGTTTTATTAATGCCTTATGACATATTGTTGCCATTTAATGATGACTTGACATGAAAATCTTACATATTGCTACTTTAATTCACAATCTGAAACATGAAACAACAATGTAATCATAGTCTCTACCATTTTTAATGGCCAAAGATACTGTGTGATATTTCAAGTTTACACAAAATGTCAAAATAATGTTAATCATCTACAGTTTGTTTTTGGATACTGATATTCAGCATTCAACAGTAAAAACTTGGTAATCAAACAATCAATAATTTGTTATTCCAGATACAAAAAAAAAAAAAAAGACAAAGGCATTCATGGCTGAGACTCCGTTGCCAGAGAGCCCACAAACCCGTAAAGTTAAGGAAATAGTTGGATAAGAAGCTGATATAGGTCGATGTTTGTGTATATTTACTAAAGATAACATATTTTTTCATATTCAACAACTTCATAGCATTTCATGTTTTGATGGATTGTTTACCAGATAGTCTATGATAAAAACTGTTCTTCTATAGGAACTGGGACCAACCTCAGAACACAACTGGAACTGGAAACGTATTCTCAACTTACCCTCCAGGGGACAGTGTTGATCAATACCCTGGCCTTCCTTCAACTCCGCATTTGGAAACTATAGAGACAGAGGAATAGGATGGGTGAGGGGGTGAGGAGGGGGTGAGGAGGGGGGAGGAGGGGGTGAGGGGGGGGGGGGGGGTTGAGGCACAAGGGAAAGAAAGAAAAGGGGTGGTGTTAGATGTAAGTGAATCTACAGTTCAGACCACAGACGCAGAGAAAACAAACAGTCTCCTCAAAGCATTTCCTACTCTGAAGAAAAAGAGGCCCAGCTCCTTTGAACATCTGCAGTTATTGTGTTACCCAGTCTGCGAGACTTCACTTTAGAGCCTCCTCCAACACATCCATCAAACCCCAAATATTTATCATGCAAGCTGGGACAACTTTCGGAAACAAAAGAAAGACGTAGGAAAAGTTTAGTTGGAGAAGCGAAAAAAGAGCCTTCAACATTTGGTTTATGTAGAAAACAAAGAACGCAATGCGCCCGCAGCAACATGTGTGTATTTATTTCAATGGGGAATAATTACCAGATGGAAATTTCCAGGCAAATAGGATGGGATTGATTAAATACACTTGTAAAACAAAAGGGGTCCTGAAGGGTAGAAGCAGGCAATAAGAGGAAAACTGTTATGCTGTCATATGTTAAAAATGTATATGTTGCATGAACTTTTACTCTGCAAAAAGCTGTATGTTTTTCTCTTGCACATCTGCTCACACGCAAACACCTAATAATTAAAACTGTGCGGTGGAAACAATGAAAATTAAGTGCAGCCTGTGCCCTAAAGCCACAAGTATTCAAACAACAAATGATTCATCCAGTTTACGTCACACTTTGAAATCAAAACCTCCCGATGCAGAAACCGGAAAAATAAAAAGCAGATCGATGCTTGCAAAAGAAACAAAACAAAAGAACTTCATGTACCTTTGAGCGGAAAGGCTAAACATCTGCATGCGTTTAGCTGCGCGCCCTCCCCCCTGTTTCAACTCAAAAGTAATGACAGCACTCGGGCTTGCGGTTCGATTTAACAATCTCCAAAGGACGTGATTATTCCTTGCTTCAGAGGATGATACTGTGAGCCTGTAATCTGCCCCTGACCTTCAGTGTGAGAGGGAAGGGGCAATACGGGGGCTGTGGAGGCCGAGGGGTCACCGTTTAGACATATATAGGCCACGAGAGACAGTGAACAGACAGAAAGAGGAAAGAAAGAATTCAAGACTTTGTAGAATATTGGGGTTGGGAGTTCAAAGGCAAGAGATGTTGTTCGCTGTAAGGTGTGAACTCCATAAATCGTTGTTTGCTGCAGAGATCAATAATTGTTTGGTCCAATAAATTGCCTAAATTACTCCTAAACTGCAAGAGAAAAATCTCGACCAAAAATTAACCACACCATCAATGTATGGCACAGGTATTAACCTCAACTCTTCAGCCGGGTGCTGGCTCCTCTGAGCGCTGCTGCTAATGCGTCTCCTCCTCTCATCTCCTTGTGTAAAACACTTTCAAGCACAGGCCCTGAACAAAAATCACTTATAAATCATGTAGATCAGTGATCAAAAGTTTCTTCAGCTGTGTCGGGTACGCAAAACATTCCGCTAAAATAAAGCATCTTTTACGATAAGTACACACAGGAGTAAACCATCTTGCTCTCAGATGATCTTTGGCATGCGGGATGTGTGAGTAAAAAGCTTGATCCGACTGGACACTGAATTTCCGATAGACATAGAAAATCCTCCCTGCGTCACATAGACAATCCAGAACTCGTTTCTTAGAGCCTGAAATGTTGTATGAGAAAAAAAAGTTGCTATCTTATACCATCCATCCATCCATCCATTTTTTTCCCCTTTATCCATTTCTGGGTTGGGGGTGGCAGTCAGAGCTGCACCCAGTACACAGAGTACCGGCCCCTCACTGATCCTCCTGCAGGTGGTGAGCCCACAAAAGACACGAAGTAGGTCTTTTGGTGGGCTCGAACCCACGGCCTTCAGGCTCTAAGGCCAATGCTCTACCAACTGCGCCACTGCCCTGTACCCACGCAGCAAAAATATAGGTGTGGCTCATATTTTGGGCTGACGAGCACCTGTGTGGTGGCTCAAAGTGTCCATCAAGGTCAGAGCACAAATCAAGGGACATTTAGAAAAGGGAAATTATTTGTGATTAATCATGAGTTAACTGTTCATTAATGCAACTTAATATTGTAATCGTTTGACAGCACTTCAACACTTCTACAACTGCGGACTGCCCCGCCCGACCCGCCTGGGAGTGCTTCAGTCCTGCACCGGACCTGTCCACATTCAGCGGCCGCTGGTCCACGTTCTGTAGCTAGCTTAGGTCCTGGATCTATAGCCTGTCCATCCCTGTGGGTTTCCCTAGTTCTCCCCAAGGTTTCTCACTTTTTCCCACTGGGTTTTTTAAGAGTTTTTCCTTGTCGATGCAGGAGGGTCTTGTTGGACAGTTAGTGTCCAACAGAAAGGATTGGTGATGATCAGGACACTTTAGCATTCTACAAATTGTATGGACATTTTCTTCTGTGTGTGCTTTATATTTTTCATGTGTTTTAACTGTTGATTCTCTGACCTGTGTCGGTGATTTCAATGGTTTTGTTATGTCTCTGAGATGACTTCTGTTGTGACCTAGGGCTATACAAGAATAAATTGTATTGTATTGTATTGTATTGTACTGTACTTGTATTTATGCTGTTATTCCATCTATCCTAATATTTCTACATTTGATAGAAACATCTTTTGAGACCCATTTATGGTGGCTCGGAGGTGACCCCTATTGCCCAATAGGTGATCACCAATTGATTTCATATAGATTCCAATCAACTGACTGTAGAAAGTGCAACATAAGAGAAAAACATTTTGACAACTAATTGTTTCAGCAACACAAGCATATTTGGCAAGAAGACACTGCCAGAATTCCTTTGGCAATAATTGAAACATAACTTTTTACACATGGACCAGTGCTGACAGAGCCCAGCCCTATTCCCCATCAAACATCTTTGGGTTTCTTGGACAAGACTTTTTTTTTCCATCTGTCCTAACCTCCCATCATCAATAATGGATCTTGGCAAAAAAAAAATCAAAAAGACGTTCAGCCAGGTGAAACGATGCCACTGCAAAAGTCAAAAGTGCAAAGAATCTTCTCTGACTGTGAGCTTGAAAGACGAGCAAAGCTTAGAACAAAGACGGGAAAGTTACTGATAAAAAACCAAGGTTGTTTGACATTTAGAGCCATCTTCTTCTCAGCAGAGGCAGTAATTTAGGCTTCTGCAAGACAACTGTTAGCCTTACTATCACCAACACACACACACACACACACACACATATGCCCAGTGGAAAACAGGCCTCTCCACACACGATGAAGTTATTCTTTCCTCCGTGTTTTGCTGCTTTTATCTTTGCCTTTGTAATCCGGTGTCTTAATGAAGGCCGGTGTGAAAGAGGAAGAGGGAGTTCACACACTGAGACGCACTGTTCTGCCGAGCACAGGAACATCAAAGCGTACCATTGATTCTTCTCATCGCCAGCCGCCGACCAGCAGAAAAGGTATAATCACCTCCAAATGACAGACAAGGGCACCGGGTAATGGGCCGCATCAATCACGAAGGCGCAATTAGGACCCAGGCATCAGCGACGTCATGCGGTGAGTGGCAGGAGGCTACGTTCCAGTTTTCAGGTCTCTGCACTGGCTTCCTGTGTCTCAGAGAATAGACTTTAAAGCTGCTCTGCTTGTTACAAGTCTCTCCATGCCCTCGCACCAAAGTACATCCGAGACATGCTAGTGCAATATATGAACCCACTAGGAACTTTGAGGAGCACAGGGACTGCCTTCCTGTTTGGACTCTGAGGAGCACAGGGACTGGTCTACTACTGGGACTCTCTGTTGAAAGATCAAGGCTCCTGTGGACTCACCACCTGCAGGAGGATCAGTGATGGGCTGGTCCAAGTGAATTGGGTGCAGCTCTGACTGTCACCCCCCGACCCAGAATTGGAATAAAGGAAGGAAATGGATGGATGGATAACTCAGGTGCGCGCACTCACGAGAAACAGGACAAGGGTGATGGGGCATCTAATAGGTCCTTGACTGTTTTTTGATTGTGTGATCATTTCCAATTCTGTCTTCTACTATAAGCATCGGAAAAAGACAAAAAAAGTGTACAAAAATGGCAAAAATAGTAATCATGATCTGACTCCTAGAAAATCTTTTTGCCATCTCGCTCAAGGACTTTTATTCAAGTTCTCTCCTGCCTCAGATGTTGCTACACTTTCTACACGGCGCACAAACCCAGCACCACCTCTGTGCTCATTAAAAGCACTGTGAGAGTTAATGAGAGAGCCGGCTGGTCCGACCACAGTCTGCAGCCCCGATGTCTAAACACACATGGCATCTCCATCCACGTCGCCCACGGAGACGGAGTAAGTCTCCAAATCTGCCCGCCACATGTGCAATTAACTGGCTTCGTTCTGCACCGGAGGATTCTTTCGCTATCAGAAACTCACCATGCAGGGCTCAGAGAAGGAGTTAGAAGCACCATCTAGGCTTGCAAAGGAGTTCAGGTTATTAATAAATGCACGTTTGGTTTTCAATCATCACCTTATAATCACTGTGAGTCTGCGACATAGTTTAGATTTGAATAGAAGTTGCCATTGTCAGGTCCACAACAATGAAATACAGTTTAGCAGCTCCATGGTCAGGCAACAAATAGTAAGAACATGCAAACACACATGATTAGGGATACAGGACAGGTGAGATAACTCCTTGGAACAGCACACCTGCCCCCAAGTGGACATTATCATAGTGTCCTTTTGAATGCACCACCTTAGAGTAGACACATGCATATTATACACGATAAGGAAGGGAAAATAGGGGCAAAGATGGTGATGAGGTGGCTGGATGAAACTACTAAGATAAGCATAGACTTACAAAAATAAATAAATGGACTCAGACTTAAATTTCAATAGCCACATATCATCTGTGACATCATCAGCTTACTTCCACCTAAGAAACATTGCTAAAATTAAAAACATTGTGTCTAAAGCAGACTTGGAGATTCTTAT